CTCCATTTAATGTTCTATCCGAGAGATGGATTGATTTCCACAGCAACCTTTTTTTTCTTCTTTTTCAATTCTCGTTTTATTAATTCATCCATCATAATCTCAAACTTTTACAACATATATCATTAACATAAGTTCATACAACCATACATGTGTGTTGTTTTTCATACATTAGAAATGAATTGTACATAATGCAACATAATATAGACTTTTACCTATTTGTTTCAAATGTATTCTGATAGTCGATTAGGAAAATCATATATTGATTTGTTTTCATTTCTTCGATTCTGATTAATTTCAATTTTATCTAAGTTCTCTGAATTAAAGATATACTGCAATTCAGATTTTCTACGATCATACCCCTTTTTGTTCCGTAATATCGTTTTATATATTGACCAAAGTGCAATGGAGATTTTGTGATCTGTTGAGTTTTCCTCACCTACTTTGATTAGATAATCTACTGTAATTGTTATTTCTGTATAAAACACTATTTCTATTAACCAGCATATATGATCTGAATAAATCGTTAAATTTACATTAAATAAAAACATGAACAATGTCTTCAATTGCTTCACATGTTTTACATAAATCATCAGGTCCAAGATTCCACTTCAAAAGATTCTTTCTAAAACTGGTAGAATGTTATACAAAATCTTAGGGGGAAATTCGTTCAGCTTAGTATAATTAATGTTAATCAAATTTCTTTTAAAACAATTTGGCCGATTGATATTTTTATCTATAACAGCTTTTCCCAAAATAGACCACATCTAGCGACCCCTTTATTTAGGACCCCATGGAAGACCAGCAGTGTCGTGCCTGGCACAGCTGAATATGGGCTATCCAGCCGTTTTATTAACGCTATGTATATACTTGTATTATATGCTTCTTTTTTTTTTTTAACGGAAAATAAATACTATACTATACTAGGCGGAGCATGTCATAGTATTGTTTACCGGTTAACTCATGAAGTTGTTTTTATTCTACCTCTATATTAAGAATTCTTGGAATTTGTAAATTATTTTGTTCTTTTCAATAGAGAGCTATTTCCTTTGGTTAAGCAACTGTTTTGGAATCGCTTTGTAAAGTTTTGCAAGGTCAAACAGTACATTGCTTTTCCGTATTCATACCCAATTCGAGCACTACTTCTATAGGTACCGTTTCTAAAAATTGTCGTTTACATACACAATGCCACTTTGAAACCAGTTCTTAGAGAAGACCAATTTCTTTCTGAAAATAATGTTCTGATAACACCATACTCTCTAAATTTGAAAGTCTTATTTTTAAATCTTAAAGTCTTACTTTTAAATCTAACAGAGACTGATATTAGTGACGAACCCTTTGGGATTTAAAATAAGTCTAAGCTAAGACTTGAAATTTTAAGTCCCTGAAAAGGTTTAAAATTTAAGTCAATTGGATTTATATTTCAAGTCTTTTAATATTTATTTTAAACCTTTCTTGGATTCATTTCAAAAATAAATCTAAGCTAAGACTTAAAATTTTAAGTCCCTGAAAGATTTAAAGTTTAAGTCAATTGTATTTATATTTCAAGTCTTTTAGATTTACTGGTCTAGCTAAGCCATTAGAACCATTTGGTAAAACTTCCAACCAATTGAACGGCAACAACACTTCAATACTGGTACGTCTGTATTATCAATGTAAAGGCATCGGTAATAAGTAGACTTATACATAATTTAATTAATCGAATTTTTTTTCATATACTTGTATTTTATTGAAATTATTTTAGTTCATAGTTAATGTTTCCCTTATTCATGTTTAATTAAATGGAATTCATACGAAGTAGCGAAATGTCCTAATAACTTGTAATTTATATTTGTAGTATTTTCGAAATGAATTGCATATACCTAAATCATCAGTAATTAAGAAATATGCTGTAAATTCAGAAAAATTGTTAAAAAACATAGATCTGCACGCACCCCATATTCAATATGCAAATTAATTGGTGTCAGCTGGTTCAACTGGAAATATGCCAACAGTCAGTCATCAACAGGTGCAACTGGAAATATGCACATCTTATTGGCGAGAAGTTTAAGTCTTTCCAAGATTTATATCTAGAAGCTGGTTTCGATAAAACTTTTAGTCGAATTCCCAATTTATTAAGTCTTAAAGACTTGAAATATTTTAAGTCTCAAAATGGATTTAAAATTTAAGTCCTAGAAATTAAGAGAGTAATATTTCCGATGAGGTATTTTAAACTATATTCCCCTTTACTTTATAACATGCTAGTAATAAAGCAATAAAACAATGGCAATTTCGATACACAATAATGTAAAATTCTTTCATCAAAATCACAGTTAAATACTACAGAGAGCCTGGTCAAGCCAGAAATTAGCCATTCTTTTCCACAGTGTGTCTGATTCATCAGTGATTCGCCCTAGCCAACGCAATCTGAAACTCATAACCTCAGTTTCAACGTCCATCATACTTTAATATATACACCCCCATTCTCACAATTTTTAAACATATGAATTCTCCTTATTGTTTCACTTTTCCCCTGCCAAATAATATTTTTAAAATAATTTATTCATTTTTTTGACATAGATTTTGGGAACAGTTTCAAACATTAATATATGTATCAACCTAGTCATTCGTCTATGAAACCATGGACCTACTATCTACTTCATGTACGTAGTAGTAGGTCCACGATGAAACAGAGGAGAGGCACTGTTAACACACAACGCAGGCTTCAGTCACCCGCCTGGGTTGGATTCGAACCCACGATCGTTGGCCCGGTTCGACAGTCAGACGCTTTACAGACTGAGCCAAGGCGATTCTATCCGTGTCAATGTACACCTGTGTTGAAAGTGGCAAATGTAGTTTATTGCGTCGTCAATGGACGTTGGGTTCAAGCAGTGGCGGATCCAGGGGGCCTGGGCCCCTCCTCTGGCGCTCAACTGGGGGGGGGGGGTGCAATAAAATTAGTGCTCACCAACCCCCTCCCCCCCCCCCCCCCCCCCCCCACCACTGAGCGAATTATCGGCAGGCGCGATTTTTCTTATTTTCGGCCGGCTTTTTCGCAGCTAAATATTTTCTCGTGAAATGAGCCCCC